CCTAACCTAACCTAACCTAACCTAACCTAACCTAACCTAACCTAACCTAACCTAACCTAACCTAACCTAACCTAACCTAACCTAACCTAACCTAACCTAACCTAACCTAACCTAACCTAACCTAACCTAACCTAACCTAACCTAACCTAACCTAACCTAACCTAACCTAACCTAACCTAACCTAACCTAACCTAACCTAACCTAACCTAACCTAACCTAACCTAACCTAACCTAACCTAACCTAACCTAACCTAACCTAACCTAACCTAACCTAACCTAACCTAACCTAACCTAACCTAACCTAACCTAACCTAACCTAACCTAACCTAACCTAACCTAACCTAACCTAACCTAACCTAACCTAACCTAACCTAACCTAACCTAACCTAACCTAACCTAACCTAACCTAACCTAACCTAACCTAACCTAACCTAACCTAACCTAACCTAACCTAACCTAACCTAACCTAACCTAACCTAACCTAACCTAACCTAACCTAACCTAACCTAACCTAACCTAACCTAACCTAACCTAACCTAACCTAACCTAACCTAACCTAACCTAACCTAACCTAACCTAACCTAACCTAACCTAACCTAACCTAACCTAACCTAACCTAACCTAACCTAACCTAACCTAACCTAACCTAACCTAACCTAACCTAACCTAACCTAACCTAACCTAACCTAACCTAACCTAACCTAACCTAACCTAACCTAACCTAACCTAACCTAACCTAACCTAACCTAACCTAACCTAACCTAACCTAACCTAACCTAACCTAACCTAACCTAACCTAACCTAACCTAACCTAACCTAACCTAACCTAACCTAACCTAACCTAACCTAACCTAACCTAACCTAACCTAACCTAACCTAACCTAACCTAACCTAACCTAACCTAACCTAACCTAACCTAACCTAACCTAACCTAACCTAACCTAACCTAACCTAACCTAACCTAACCTAACCTAACCTAACCTAACCTAACCTAACCTAACCTAACCTAACCTAACCTAACCTAACCTAACCTAACCTAACCTAACCTAACCTAACCTAACCTAACCTAACCTAACCTAACCTAACCTAACCTAACCTAACCTAACCTAACCTAACCTAACCTAACCTAACCTAACCTAACCTAACCTAACCTAACCTAACCTAACCTAACCTAACCTAACCTAACCTAACCTAACCTAACCTAACCTAACCTAACCTAACCTAACCTAACCTAACCTAACCTAACCTAACCTAACCTAACCTAACCTAACCTAACCTAACCTAACCTAACCTAACCTAACCTAACCTAACCTAACCTAACCTAACCTAACCTAACCTAACCTAACCTAACCTAACCTAACCTAACCTAACCTAACCTAACCTAACCTAACCTAACCTAACCTAACCTAACCTAACCTAACCTAACCTAACCTAACCTAACCTAACCTAACCTAACCTAACCTAACCTAACCTAACCTAACCTAACCTAACCTAACCTAACCTAACCTAACCTAACCTAACCTAACCTAACCTAACCTAACCTAACCTAACCTAACCTAACCTAACCTAACCTAACCTAACCTAACCTAACCTAACCTAACCTAACCTAACCTAACCTAACCTAACCTAACCTAACCTAACCTAACCTAACCTAACCTAACCTAACCTAACCTAACCTAACCTAACCTAACCTAACCTAACCTAACCTAACCTAACCTAACCTAACCTAACCTAACCTAACCTAACCTAACCTAACCTAACCTAACCTAACCTAACCTAACCTAACCTAACCTAACCTAACCTAACCTAACCTAACCTAACCTAACCTAACCTAACCTAACCTAACCTAACCTAACCTAACCTAACCTAACCTAACCTAACCTAACCTAACCTAACCTAACCTAACCTAACCTAACCTAACCTAACCTAACCTAACCTAACCTAACCTAACCTAACCTAACCTAACCTAACCTAACCTAACCTAACCTAACCTAACCTAACCTAACCTAACCTAACCTAACCTAACCTAACCTAACCTAACCTAACCTAACCTAACCTAACCTAACCTAACCTAACCTAACCTAACCTAACCTAACCTAACCTAACCTAACCTAACCTAACCTAACCTAACCTAACCTAACCTAACCTAACCTAACCTAACCTAACCTAACCTAACCTAACCTAACCTAACCTAACCTAACCTAACCTAACCTAACCTAACCTAACCTAACCTAACCTAACCTAACCTAACCTAACCTAACCTAACCTAACCTAACCTAACCTAACCTAACCTAACCTAACCTAACCTAACCTAACCTAACCTAACCTAACCTAACCTAACCTAACCTAACCTAACCTAACCTAACCTAACCTAACCTAACCTAACCTAACCTAACCTAACCTAACCTAACCTAACCTAACCTAACCTAACCTAACCTAACCTAACCTAACCTAACCTAACCTAACCTAACCTAACCTAACCTAACCTAACCTAACCTAACCTAACCTAACCTAACCTAACCTAACCTAACCTAACCTAACCTAACCTAACCTAACCTAACCTAACCTAACCTAACCTAACCTAACCTAACCTAACCTAACCTAACCTAACCTAACCTAACCTAACCTAACCTAACCTAACCTAACCTAACCTAACCTAACCTAACCTAACCTAACCTAACCTAACCTAACCTAACCTAACCTAACCTAACCTAACCTAACCTAACCTAACCTAACCTAACCTAACCTAACCTAACCTAACCTAACCTAACCTAACCTAACCTAACCTAACCTAACCTAACCTAACCTAACCTAACCTAACCTAACCTAACCTAACCTAACCTAACCTAACCTAACCTAACCTAACCTAACCTAACCTAACCTAACCTAACCTAACCTAACCTAACCTAACCTAACCTAACCTAACCTAACCTAACCTAACCTAACCTAACCTAACCTAACCTAACCTAACCTAACCTAACCTAACCTAACCTAACCTAACCTAACCTAACCTAACCTAACCTAACCTAACCTAACCTAACCTAACCTAACCTAACCTAACCTAACCTAACCTAACCTAACCTAACCTAACCTAACCTAACCTAACCTAACCTAACCTAACCTAACCTAACCTAACCTAACCTAACCTAACCTAACCTAACCTAACCTAACCTAACCTAACCTAACCTAACCTAACCTAACCTAACCTAACCTAACCTAACCTAACCTAACCTAACCTAACCTAACCTAACCTAACCTAACCTAACCTAACCTAACCTAACCTAACCTAACCTAACCTAACCTAACCTAACCTAACCTAACCTAACCTAACCTAACCTAACCTAACCTAACCTAACCTAACCTAACCTAACCTAACCTAACCTAACCTAACCTAACCTAACCTAACCTAACCTAACCTAACCTAACCTAACCTAACCTAACCTAACCTAACCTAACCTAACCTAACCTAACCTAACCTAACCTAACCTAACCTAACCTAACCTAACCTAACCTAACCTAACCTAACCTAACCTAACCTAACCTAACCTAACCTAACCTAACCTAACCTAACCTAACCTAACCTAACCTAACCTAACCTAACCTAACCTAACCTAACCTAACCTAACCTAACCTAACCTAACCTAACCTAACCTAACCTAACCTAACCTAACCTAACCTAACCTAACCTAACCTAACCTAACCTAACCTAACCTAACCTAACCTAACCTAACCTAACCTAACCTAACCTAACCTAACCTAACCTAACCTAACCTAACCTAACCTAACCTAACCTAACCTAACCTAACCTAACCTAACCTAACCTAACCTAACCTAACCTAACCTAACCTAACCTAACCTAACCTAACCTAACCTAACCTAACCTAACCTAACCTAACCTAACCTAACCTAACCTAACCTAACCTAACCTAACCTAACCTAACCTAACCTAACCTAACCTAACCTAACCTAACCTAACCTAACCTAACCTAACCTAACCTAACCTAACCTAACCTAACCTAACCTAACCTAACCTAACCTAACCTAACCTAACCTAACCTAACCTAACCTAACCTAACCTAACCTAACCTAACCGACGCCATATTGAAAATTTTAAAACTGACATATCTCCGGAAGTCTTTGGCGGATTTCGATGCGGTTTTCGATACACTTGATTGCTTAAGCTCATTTATCGTACCATCAAATAATATTAGTGACTTGGCGGCCATTTTGGGTAGCCATTTTGTGAAATATTGTTATTGCTATATCTTTTGAAATACTGCATCGATTTTTGCTGGACTTTCGGAATAAGATAGTAAATATCTTTGACTTTCTGTCTGACAAATAAAACTACTCTACATAGAGACAATTGTGTGTATTGTATTTGTATATTTATGTGTATTTCCTCTTAGATAAGCAAGACTTGCTATTTCTTTCGTATAATAGTATAGAGGACAACCTTTTTAGGTAAAAAACGCAGAGGAACTCTACATAGAGTTAAAAAATTTATTTTCAAATTTTATTTTATTTTAGTTATTTTAAAATTGAGATACCTTAGACATTTGACCTTTGAATAACCGCAACCTCGTCATATTTTAAAACAATATATAACTTTAACCTAATTTTGGATAGGTATAGAATTTAATTTAAATTCAGACGTAGAGCCACCTTGTAGAGTGGTGTTATTATACAACGACGTAGAGTCGGGACTCTACAAATAGTTTATATTATAACATCTCTGCAAATTTTTAGTTCTTAAACAGTTTTATTAAATTTAAAAAGGAAATTTTTATTTTCTTTTTACCCGAAAGTTAACATACTGTATGAATAAAGAATTTTGACGGAGTCTGTGACTCTAGATAGAGGTATATTTTTATACACTTTTATACATTTTATATATTTGTTTTGTTATATTTTTTCTCTGTTTTACATTTAAGTTGATATATTTATACATCCTTTATACACATTATACTATTGACGCTACACGGACATATACTCCCAAGATGTTTGGAATTAGAACACCAACTAAACCGACACAATCACCCTCTAAAACAGGAAGTGAAATTTCAAAAGTAAGACGCAGCATAGATGACTGGGAATCTAACATTGATTCAACCCCATCCATGACTACCACGACAATGCAGGCAGGTACTGCTAAAACAAAACCAACGGTATCAGTGCTACAAAACAGTAAAACCACGCAAAAAGTGTCTGTTGAAATACACACTCCGCCAAAGCAGCAGTATGAAAATAGAACAATGGAAGCAAAGGCCTGTTTAACAAAAGGCAAGCTTCATCTAAACGCCTCTCGGAATACGAAAACAGAGATAAAAAATGGCGTTGTAGAAGCACTGGATCGATTATATCAGCTTGTTAAAGAAGCTGAAATGGAGTTAAAGGCAAAAAAGGCAAAAGGAGAAAAGGAAAAGAGTGAAAAGCTAGAGTTGGAAACTGCTGCTACTGACTCTACCTTCTCAGTCATCTCACCTCACCACTCAGACCTAAAAACAAGGATTGAGGAGCACGCAAGATTGCTGCAAGAAACAAATAAAAAGATGGAAGAGTTGAAAGAATCGATGGAAAAGCAAAGAGAAACACTAGAGCGAGCGACAATGCCAACATACGCTAATGTAACTGCAGACAAAATCATTAAAACTCCCCCACAGCGTAGTACCCTACATTCCGTAGTAATAACATCAACAGATGAAACTGAAACGGGGGAAGAGGTGATGAACCGGGTCAGAAAGGCAGCTGATGCAAAAGAAGGGTGGATAAAGGTTGGAAGGGTAAGGAAAGCAAAGGATAGAAAAATCATTATGGGTTTCGAAACAAAAGAGGAAAGGAACAAAATGAAAAATCGGCTTGAAAAAGAAGGAGTAAATCTCACCGTCGAAGAGGTCAAAAACAGGGACCCACTTCTGATCCTCAGAAATGTACTTCTTGTAAACACAGACGAAGACGTAATCAAGGCTCTGAGGAATCAAAATCGCGGTGTTTTTCACGGTCTCGACGAAGGTGAGATCAGAATTGAAATAAAATATAGAAGAAAAACAAGAAATCCCCACACCAGCCACATTGTTCTTAGTGTCTCGCCTATCATCTGGCAAAGAGTTATAGAAATTGGGAGTATTCATATTGATTTACAACGTGTTAGAGCAGAAGACCAATCCCCACTGGTGCAATGCACACGCTGTTTAGGATATGGTCACGGTAAGAGGTTCTGTAAAGAACTATCAGACCTATGTAGCCACTGTGGTGGCCCCCACCTGAGATCCGAGTGTGGTGACTGGCTCGCTGGTGAACCACCCAAATGCCAAAACTGCTCAAAGGCAAAATTGTTCCAGACAGAACATAATGCCTTTAGCACAAACTGCGCAACGCGCCGAAAGTGGGATGAATTGGCCCGGTCAACTATAGCATATTGCTAAAGGTGCACAAGTTGAACAAGCCCACTATAAAATTATCCAAGCAAACCTCCAGCGCAAAAAATTAGCAACCCATGAACTTTTTATTGAAGCTGAGAAACGTCGAGCTGATATAGCACTACTTCAAGAACCATACGTAGGTGGTGCTAACACGATGAAAGGTCAAAGAGGCGTGAGGGTTTTTCAAAACTCTAGCCCAGGAGAAGGGACTGTTAAGGCAGCGGTAGCCGTCTTCAACGTTGATTTTAACATAAAACAGTACCCAAAACTCACCACAAACAACATCATTGTGGTGGGAATTCAAACTAGAGCTTGGGAAATAACACTCGTCTCTTATTACTTCGAGCCAGATCAGCCCATAGAACCGTATATTGATCACCTTAAAAAGATAGAGCAAGAAATTGGAAGTACAAAGTGGATTGCTGGAGGTGACGCCAATTCAAAAAGTACCTGGTGGGGAAGCCCGATCGTTGACCATAGAGGAGAAGAAATCGCAGGAGCTTTCGAGGAGCTGGGTCTGAACATACTGAATAGAGGGGACATTCCGACCTTCGATACCATCCGAGGAGGAAAACGATATTCCAGCTACGTCGACATAACAGCCTGCTCGACCGACATCCTGGACTTGGTAGATGACTGGACAGTGGACGAGGGTCTTACGAGCTCGGACCACAACGGCATTATTTTTAATATTCGGCTACAAAAATCAAAAGGTCTAAGAGTAAACAGAACTACTAGACTGTTTAATACAAAGAAGGCAAATTGGCCTAAGTTTCATGAGAAACTTAACCAATTGCTGTCAGAAAATCAATTTAACAAATCGGAAATAGAAAATATTGAAACCATTGAACAAATAGACATAGCAACAGATAAATTAACAATATCCATAACAGACACTTGCAAGCAAACAATGCCAACCAAAAAAGCTACAGAAGAACTTACCTTGCCGTGGTGGTCCGATAAGCTCAACAAGATGAAAAAAGAAGTCACTACCATGAAACGAAGGATCAAATGTGCTGCCCTGGTCCGTAGACAGAAGGTCGTAGAAGAGTACCTGGAACAAAAAGAGAGGTATGAGTCAGAAGCTATTAAAGCCCAGATCGAGAGCTGGAAATACTTTTGCTGCAAGCAGGATAAGGAGGGGGTCTGGGAAGGTATCTATAGGGTAATTGGGAGAACAACGCGCAGGGACGAGGACCAGCCACTGGAAATCAATAAGGTAGTGTTAGACGCAAAAGGTTCCGTGAAGTTATTGGCGGAAACGTTCTTTCCGGAAGACTTAACAGACAGCGAAAACACTTACCATCGCCACGTAAGAATAAAAGCTGACAAAGTGAACTCTGCTGAGCAAGATGACCTGTGTGATCCCCTGTTCACAATGTTAGAATTGAAACAGGCGTATCGATCCTTCAACCCGAAAAAGGCCCCAGGAGCGGACGGTTTCACAGCTGATATATGTCTACACGCTATAGAAAGCAACCCCGAGTTATTCTTGGCCTTCCTTAATAAATGTTTAACTCTACAACACTTCCCGAAAACCTGGAAAATCGCGACAGTCATAGTGCTTAAAAAACCAGGGAAAGTAGATTACACCATGCCGAAAGCGTACAGGCCCATTGGACTACTACCTGTACTAGGAAAGATCTTTGAGAAAATGCTGGTGAACCGCCTCAAATTTCACCTTTTGCCAAGGATAAGTACTCGCCAGTACGGGTTCATGCCACAGAGAAGCACCGAAGACGCCCTCTATGTACTAATGCAGTTCATTCACATGAAGCTGAATCAAAAGAAAATTATAGCGCTAGTATCATTGGACATCGAGGGAGCTTTTGATAGCGCCTGGTGGCCAGCCATACGAGTCCGACTGGCTGAGGAAAGGTGTCCGCTTAACTTGAGGAGGGTCATAGATAGTTATCTCAAAGACAGGAAAGTCGTAGTCAGGTACGCTGGAGAGGAATATGCTAAAGGTACAAGCAGAGGTTGTGTCCAGGGATCCATTGGAGGCCCAATCCTATGGAATCTTCTGCTAGACCCTCTCTTGAAAAGTCTCGAATGCAGGGGAGATTATTGTCAGGCGTTTGCGGACGACGTCGTATTAGTCTTCGACGGCGACACAGCACACGAAGTGGAGCGACGTGCCAATGCCACTCTAGAACATGTCTGTGCGTGGGGTGTTGAAAATAAATTGAAGTTTGCGCCACACAAGACGAACGCGATGATAATAACAAGAAAACTGAAACACGATGTACCACGCCTCAACATGGGAGGTACTGCAATTGGCATGTCAAAAGAAATAAAGCTACTTGGGTTTACAATTGACGAAAAGCTTACTTTTAACACCCATGTATCGAATGTGTGTAAGAAGGCAATCGGCATCTACAAACAACTATGCAAAGCGGCGAAGGTTAGTTGGGGACTCCATCCGGAAGTGATAAGAGTGATATATCTCGCGACCGTAGAGCCTATTATACTTTACGCTGCTAGCGTTTGGGCACAGGCTGCAAAAAAGCTGGGGATAATAAAACAACTCGCCGTAGTCCAGCGCGGTATCGCGCAAAAACTATGCAAAGCCTACCGAACGGTCTCTCTGAATTCGGCGCTAGTACTGGCTGGAATACTCCCCCTGGACCTCCGAGTCCGTGAGGCTGCTTTATTATATGAAGCCAAGAGGGGGCTGCCACAGCCAGTGTTGGCGGGAAGAGAGGTCGAGAGAATGGCTTCAGCTTTTGAGGGCCCACACCCTGCTGAGCGCCTGGAATTAGGAATTATTTGTTTGGTAAACGAGGAGCAGGTGAACAAACACAGCGAAATAAACGTCCACATATTTACTGACGGGAGCAAGATTGAAGGCAAGGTTGGCGCCGCCCTTTCCGAATGGAAAAACAAGACCGAAAATAAAGCCCTCAAACTTGCTCTACCAACATACTGCACAGTTTACCAAGCCGAGCTCCTGGCCATTTGCAGGGCGACTGGACAAATCCTCAAGCACAGAGCGTCCTCCTTTGGAATTTACAGCGACTCAATGGCGGCCCTTCAAACGATCATAAATCCAAACTGCCTTCACCCGTTAGCCGTGGAATGTAGAGATAATTTAAGAGCAATATCTCTCCAAAGCAAAGTAGTAACTTTGTTTTGGATTAAAGCCCACGCGGGCTTAGAGGGGAATGAACGAGCAGACAGACTAGCAAAAGAGGCCGCAAAAAATTCCAAAGTGAGACCGGATTACGATCTTTGCCCGGTTTCATTCGTCAAGCGAAGCATCCGTATGGCAACGCTAGACAAATGGAACCAAAGATACCAGACTGGCGAAACAGGAAAGATCACGAAGCTGTTTTTCCCAGACGCGAAAGTGGCCTACCGAATAATAAGAAAATTTGAAGCAAGCAGCGAGACTACTCAAGTCATGACAGGGCATGGTGGATTTTCTGAATACTTACACCGCTTTAAGTGTAAAGAGAATCCATCGTGCATTTGCGACCGCGATGCTGAAGAAACTGTGCCACACATTTTGCTGGATTGTCCCGCATACGCCGCAGAGCGCCTGAAAATAGAAAACGAAATTGAATTAAAATTAATTAAGGAGAATATAAATATCATAATGATGAGTAAATACAGAGAAAAATTTATGAGTTATTGTTTGAAAATTGCAAAAAGAGTAATAAATAGGAATAAAACTGTTTAAGTAAGGATGCTGCCATAATATATTGTATTATATTACAGATCAGCATTACAAAATAAATTGAAATATGTATTAGAAATAATCAAATAGAACATAAGCAATAACTAACAAATAGTATAAGTCATATAAGTATTATATAAGTTGTCACTACCCCCAGCATTAAATATTGGAAATTGTTGTTGCATGCACTAGACTAAGAGTAGTAGGACTCCCGAACGAAAACCCGGAGTCCTCTACACCTTTTATAACATCAAGGACTAAATAAATAAAAGAACATGAATTCAAAGTCCGTGTCGAGCTGACAATGTCTCTGACCCCCATGTCAGAGGGAAGCAGCAAAGCATACATTAAAAAAAAAAAAAAAAAAAAAACCTAACCTAACCTAACCTAACCTAACCTAACCTAACCTAACCTAACCTAACCTAACCTAACCTAACCTAACCTAACCTAACCTAACCTAACCAAGTACGACTCACCAGTTCTAACCATGGGCGGGGAGGAAATAGTTTACTCCCCGGAAATTAAAATACTTGGTCTGACCATTGACCGAAAATTAACTTTTAACGGGCACATAAAAAAGGTATGTAGGAAGGCCCAGATAATTTATGGGCAACTCTCGAGAGCCGCAAAAATCAACTGGGGTTTGAATTCGGAGATAGTGAGGACCATATACTTGGCAGTGGTAGAGCCGATAATTCTTTATGCAGCAAGCGTTTGGGCACCGGCGACCAAAAAGGTGGAAACGAGGAAATTACTAAACTCGGTGCAACGCGGCTTCGTGCAGAAGATAGCTAAAGCTTATAAAACTGTCTCACTGAACTCGGCCCTCCTCCTGGCTGGGTTTCTCCCCCTGGATCTCAGAATCCGGGAGGCGGCACTTATATATGAAATCAAAAAAGGCCATTCGACAGAGGTAGTAGGTGACCGGGATCTGGAGAGAATGGAAGCTTACACAGAATTGCCGCATCCCGCAGACCAGGTAGGGCCGGAGTTCATATGTCTGGCCGACGGTGCAGAAGTGGATCAAACAAATAACGCCGAGCTCACCATCTTTACTGATGGGAGCAAAATTGAGGGGAAAGTGGGTGCGGCGTTGTCTATTTGGGACAGTGCGGCCGAAACGAGTACCAAAAAATTTAAGCTAGACTACTTTTGCACCGTTTACCAGGCGGAGCTGTTGGCCCTGCTTGAGGCCACCCAATTTGCAATTCAATCTTCTGCACGAAGTTGCAACATATACAGCGACTCCAGATCAGCCCTGGAGACGATCACACGGGGCGATTCCCTTCACCCCTTGGCGGTAAGGGCAAGAGAAAATATAACCAGGATTAAATACCTTGAAAAGTCACTGGCTCTGCACTGGGTCAAAGCACATGCGGGGGTGGAGGGAAATGAAAGGGCTGACATCTTGGCAAAAGAAGCCGCTTTGAGGATAAAAACCAAAGCATTTTACGATAAATGTCCAATTTCATTCGTCAAGCGACAAATTAGGATGAACTCGCTTGACGAGTGGAATAGGAGATATAGAGAAGAGAATACGGCTGCCACTACCAAGATTTTCTTTCCGGACGCTCTCAGTGCTTACCCCATTCTTAGAGAAATTGAACTGGACCCACTGTTGACACAGGTGCTAACAGGACATGGGGGGTTCTCCGAGTATTTGTATCGTTTCAAATGCAAAGAGAGCCCCACATGCACTTGTGATAGGGACCAAGTAGAGACTGTAATACACCTTATTGCGGAGTGTCCAAGAAACTATAGAGCAAGAAAAGAGCTAGAATTGAAATTTAAAATTAAAATAAATAGAGAGGAAATACACGTAATAATGAAAGATAAAGAAATTAGAGGCAAATTTATAGAATACTGTAAGCGTATCGCGAAAGTAGCTATAGATAGAAATAAGTAGATGTAAAAGGGAACTTGAATATGTATGTAAGAATATATAATACAAGTCCCAAAATAAATAGAAATTAATAAATAAAAACAGATGTTAATAGTAAATAATATAATAGAAATAAGAAAAAGAAATTGAAAATATATGTATATAGTTCATATAGATCAATTTCAAATTAACGTGTAATAAGGAATAAGAAATTAACAAAATAATGTGGTAGATATAAGTTAGCGATACGATAAGTAAATAAGTAAAAGAATTATATAGAGTAGAGAAGTAAGTAGTAAGTAAGAAAATAAGATATATTATATAGATTATTAAAATAAGATATAAAGAGATAGGACACTGTAATAAGAAAATAAAAAAAAAAAAAAAAAAAAAAGAAAAGCATTGTAATGTATATTAGAAGATAAGGATGTAAAGTAAATAAAATAGTAAGGACAAATAGAGATAAGTGATAAAAAATGTAAACAACACAAAAATATATAAAAAGTCAAAAAGAACATTGACAAATAAACGAAAAGAGCGCAAGGGCCCCGATCTCCCATGTCAGGGGAAATAGAAAAAAAAAAAAAGAAAAAAAAAAAAAAAAAACCTAACCTAACCTAACCTAACCTAACCTAACCTAACCTAACCTAACCTAACCTAACCTAACCTAACCTAACCTAACCTAACCTAACCTAACCTAACCTAACCGAGTTGCACTCCAAACGCCGTCCCGTACGCAGCATTTTTATATCGCTCCGCGCTCTAAAAATCAAAGTGTCGGGTCAAAGTGCTCCAAATTAAAAGATCTATATATCTTTAGACGCGTCTCGTCGAGACGAAGATAGTGATGTAATAAAAAAGTGACAAAAGTGATCTGTGAAAAAAGTTATCACCGAAAAACTGGTTTTTATAACCTGCAATACTTTCGAAGTGAAACGTAGCTCGATTTAGATCGAGAACATACTGTTTTTATAGTGTCAAAAGAAGCGCCTTGACAAGCCTAATAGATTAGGCAAATCAGAAAAATTTTCCGACACCAGCGCACCGAAATATTGGAGAAAAACAAAAACCACGTGGCCACGTGTTTTTTCACTGAAGGCCGTGCGGCTGATTCTGACGACGGAATATTGAAGAGGACTTCGAGACGAAGCGTTTGACACCTCGTTCGTCAAAATCGGACAAGAAACATAGAAGATACGGCACAGTGAAGAAAAAATTTTTCAGTAAAAAACTTCACACGTGAATTTCTCTGAAATTTCAGTGACGACCTAAGTGTTTTTTGTGCTCATCCCAAGAAGGAATTCAGGACCTAATAAAGGACATCAAAAACAAAATTTTTGGAGTGTAATTAGACAAGTAAGGAATTTTATTATTTTTAAGTGTTAACACGTGTTGTCCTGAAAGTGCTGCTGAAAATTCTGAAAAAATTCCATAAATTAGCTTATATTTAGTTATACAATACCAAATTTTTTTAAAAATTTTTATATTAATATTTTTCGAATTAGAGGCTTTTTGCGGTTGTTGGTTTTTATAAGTTGATTTTCAAAATTAAAAAACTCAAAAAATTTTCAGGACAAAAATTTTTCCAAATTAAGTATATAATAGACAATTTATCTGTCTATATACAGTATTTTTTTCGGAATTTTTGAGGCAGCGCTTTCGGAGATAGGAATTTATTTGTGTGAGCTGGGAGGTCCTGAAAACCGCACAAAAACTTGTTTTTCAGTTTTCAGGAGAACGGAGCCTCCTAGCTCAATTTTGACAATTTTTTCGGGGCCCCCCCCCCCGTCACCCCCCCCCTCACACTATCTACCTAAGGGATAGTCTTCGCCACCCACCGCATGATTTTGGCTGATTTTCAACCCCCTACCCCTAAGTTGACTTTTCGACTTAGTCTCTGGGGGATGAAAAACTTTAAATTACTATAATAAACTAACGGGTGCTCCGATTTGGACGGGGTTTTTTGCAAAATTAACTATAATTGTCAAATATTTAAATTTTTTATAGACCGACTCTACATAGAGTCTATAATTTTATGCAAATTTTTATTTTTATAAATTAGACTAAGACTTTCTTTATAAAAAATTTTTTAGAATAAGACAAATAAGTTAGTGTTAAAGACTAGCTTTAACAAAAGAGACTCTTGGTAGAGCCAAGAAAGTTTTTAAGTAAAAAATTTTTTATTTTTTTTTTATTTTATATTTTTTATTTTTAGTGTATTCTTATAACTTTATACCTACTTCTATTGACAGCAGTTCGTATAAATAGACTCTACATAGAGTTTAAGTATACTAATACTAAATTAATAAGTTAGACCTAGGGACTTTTTCTTCAATTCAATAGTAATAGAATAAGATTAGTTAGTAGTAACGAGTGACTTAGAGAAAAGAGACTCTTGGTAGAGCCAAGTTGTTTTTCAGTAACAATTTAAATTTTTTGTTTATTGTTTATTTTATTTTATTGTATAATATTCTTATTCATTATTTCTTTATTTTTAATTGTAGAACTCATAAACAGACTCTACATAGAGTCAGACGGATTTGTATTAAATTGTACAAATAAAAAACTTCCTGAAACATAGACGTCTAGCCACTCTGTATAGTGGCATATACAACGAGGTAGAGTCGAGACTCTACAAAAAATTTTTTCTTGTTACATTATTTTAGTTTCGGTTTATTGGTTGCTTACTATATGGTTGGAGATTGGACTGAGGCCTAACCTGAACTCGTGACAGCCGTGTCGAACTGCAAAAACATATAGTTAGTTTTATTTAATTTTAATTTTACTTTATTTCACATATATTTTTACAACTTATACAAATTTACATTTTAAAATATTTTTATACAACTTTTACAATTTTAATTTTATTATTTCGATTTGAGACGCGTTCCCCCTAATTATGTTCGGCATCCGTACCCCCGTCAAAAAGGCAGAAACCAGTGCTAGAGACATGAGTCCTGAAGACTCGACAGCTAGGACAGAGAAGGCAGGACCTTCTCCAAAAAGTAACAAGAGCACGCTGGCTACCAGCGTCAGGAGAAGCATAGGTGAATGGGAGACGGGGGGAAAAACTGACACAGAAACCACAATACACAACTCCCCTAAAAAGGTAGCACCAGCC